TACCTTGAGTGAGGGAAACTTTAAGATCGAACGAATTTTGCGGGCGACGTGCTGATGCGAGATAAATAACATTCGAACGCGGAACAAAAGAGTCCTCTAGGTCTACGCTATGATTACAGAGTCGGATACTTTGGTCAGTCTTCAAAGTACCCGTTCCAGAAAATCCTCCTCAGATTCCTTGACCTCGACGATGCGTGCGGCGGTCTCGGTTTCCGGTGCCTTGCCTTTGTCTTTTCCTTTGGCGGTTTCAAACTCCTCGAGGGCCCTGCGGATGTACTCCCATTTGTCTTCATCGGCCGTGTCCATCGTGTGTACCTTGGTCGGAGCGGCCAGTTGCTTCTTCATGTCCGGGAGTTCGTAGTAACCCGTGTACTGAGGGTTGCGACACTTCTGGCCTGTCGTAAACTTGTGCTTGCCGCAGCGGAAACAGAGCTTCTTGTTGAGCCATTCGAGTTGTTCCTTAGAGAGCTTTTCCGGCTTGCGCATTGCGTCAACATCCATGGCGTTGGGGTCCCGTGGGGGGCGACTAGTCGTGTGCTGCTGCGAAGACGACTTGGCCTGGTTTCCACAAGTTTTCATTTCCAGCTTGAGTACCCAGTCCAGGTAGTGCTCCCATTTCGTTGGAATCAGCATCGGGTTGACTTGCCACATTGCCGTCATAACCGTAAGAATCTGCGAGTTCTTGCCAACCTAGTTGTTGATGCATCGAATGAGTTCTACATCAGCGTAACCGGACTTTGATGCGTAGCGGTGGAAGTTCTCGGCAAACTGAATGACTGTGGAGTGAGGTTTTGAGCACCACTCTTCCAGGGATGTTTGCACGGTCTTCTTGGGAGCCAGTTGACAGTAGCCTGCCTTGAGTCGGTTGACAAAGTCGGTCCAGGATCCAAGGGTTCCGCCGCTCGATGCTGTCTCGACGTAGTCCTCGACGTAGTCGTGCGCACTGCCTTCCAAGTACATGAGGGCCAGGGTAATCTTGTCATCATCCGTGGTGATGTTCTGGACACGGAACCAAAGGCCCATCTTCTGTAACCATTAGGGGTAGTCAAAGATGGCGGTTCGGTGGACGATTCGAGGGAACGATTCGGGAGACAATTCGAGAGGGGGGGAATCCGCGATTCTGGCAGAACCGCGTCAAATCGCCGGTGTGAGTCTGGAGGAGCACTGCCCACCCGAATCGCGATTCTCTGTACTCGATTCCCTCAGTCCGACCTCGGATAAGCCCTCTTAAAATAGGTTATATATCAGATTATTATTGGGGTTTGTCTTAGCACGTCTTACGAGCGACCCTACTGCAACTTGAAGCTGGCGGCTTCTCTACTTTAATCAGAATCACTGGTGTACAGATTCCCTCCACCTTCAAATGTCCAACCAGACTGAAACCCTTCCTTTCAGAAAGTCCGGCCGTCTCACCTGGCAACCTGCTGCTGGCTCTGGCACAAAGACCGGGAATTGAGTGCGTCATGTCTTGGTAAACTGAATATATTCGCTATGCGATCCCGAGAGCTGTAACAAGGCATAGTAGGGGAAGAACAACGCGGCACACGTCGAGAAACCATCGCACGAGGATACATAGATTACCTAATTCTGATATCACAGATGCCCGAAGGCCTGACCAACTCAAGAATCTATCCTGGAATCGACCCGTAGAAACGTGGGGTGGTCAGAGTGCCCACACGAATCCAGGACGATTCCCTTCCACCGAATCGCTGCAGAATCGCTTGTCGAACTGTTCTCCGAAATGCCATCTTTGACTACCCCTATTGTTCGAGAGTGATGTCCGAGCCTTTGTTTCCCTTGTACTTGGGTGGTTCTGATGCCTTGATACGCAAGGCCTGTGATACGACAGGGACCGGGGCAGTACTGATACCAAGCGTGGTGCGGGTCGACAGGCCTTGCTCCAACTGTGTAAACTTGGCTGCGAGTTCCTTGTACCATTTGACGAGCTCCGTGTTGTTCCGGTTGAGAACCTCCAGATCCACATTGACAGTGACCAGTTCCGCCTTCAGCTGTTTGTTCTCTTCCACAGCTTTGAGAGCGAGGTTCCCAGCAGTGTCAGCCTTGGTGTGAAGGCCTGTCATAGACGTGTCCAACTCTTTGAAGGTGGCATGGGTGGTGTCGGACTCATTGAGGAAGTCGTTCTGATGTTCATATATCTTGCCGCCGAGGACGTTGTAAACGTTAACTATTTCCTGCTGGGTGATGTCCCTTGTCACGGAGATGGTCCAGTGGACATAAGCTGGGTTGGTGACGCCTAAACTATTTGCCGAGGCGCGGATAGCGTTTTCCAACGAGTCATATTCAACACCAGCATAGATCCATTGAATTTACGGGTACACTTGAAGCGAGGCAGTGGGTGAAGCCGGGCGGGTGTGTGCCAGTGATGGAGCCGGGTGGGCGGGTTGACCCAGGTCGTCTGACTCAAAGTCATCCTCTGCCAGAGGGGCTTAATGCGAGCCTGAAGCCATTGCAATGATATCTGATGTACAAAACTCAACGATGATCCAATCTAAGTACCCAAAATGTTCTAACTTGACTAGAGCTTTGACAACACGCTCAAAGTTTTGTCCAAGTCCACTAAACTTGACCTTCCCAAACTCCTTGCAGAACCAATCGATGTTCTGTTGCCAACTGCGAGTCCACGAGGTGCCGTTCTCCGTGATGTTGTCGAGTATCCACTCGAGTCTGTCGCCGATGCGCTGGAGGATAGGGCTGAACACGGATCATCCGCGGCTCGATCTGGATACTCACCCGCGGATTTTTGAGGATCAGAAGCCTTGATCCAGATCCTCAAGGATCCTGATCCGCGGATCCGGATTACTGCGGATCCGACTCATTTGCGGCTCCTGATCCTCAGTGAGCCTCAGAGTAATGCGAGAAATGCTATTGTTTTATATATATTTACCAATTTTGAACACATTTCGTGCGGGGTCATGATCTGCGGATCATACCAACTTTGACACAACCCTTGATCCAGATCCTCAGTGAGCTGGATCCTCAATGATCCGGATCCGCGGATCTGGATCATTGAGGATCCGACTCCAGATTTTTGAGGATTGATCCGCAAGGTGAGCTGGATCCATGTTCAGCCCTACTGGAGGACAAGCCGATGATCGTGGGGGATGTCGAGCAACTGATCCTTGCGATCAAAGATGGCTTGCAGTCTTTTGATGACGGTGTTGACCTTTGAGCTGATGATAGCGAGGAGGTCGACAGAATCACGACGTGTGAAGGAGGGAAGAGATGGTGCAGCTATACGGTACTGAAGAGGGACCGTAGGGATTGAGGGGACCAAAACTGGTGGGGGTGTGGTGAGACGTGCAGCGAGCGGTCTGTCGAGCAGCTGACTGGGGGGCACAGATGGTAGGAGGGCCTTGCGACGAGGAACAATCGGGGTATGCCAATACTGACGGCAATGACGAAGACGATCTGATGTATCATCTGCAAGGGCGTGGTCAATCTGGGACTGGACGTCGAGGTGACCGTGTCTTTTGAAATGACGACGGGTAAACTCCGGTAGGTCTGAGTCAGATGGAAGGATAGCGGGGGGGGGATGATAAACGTTTCAAAAAACTCCTGGGGAGAGAGATCCGGTCCGCAAGTGGTTGAGACACTCCACAGAGGGGATAGGTAAGAGACTTGATCTAATGTCACAGCCAACGAGCTGTGCCACCAAAACAAACAAGGGCAAAGCTTGCTGATGCAGAGGTTGGTGCTGAGAAGCGGAGCAACCAGAGGTGGCACAGCAAGAGATGTGAAGAGATGTATTCCCTAGACTAGAAGGGGCAGTGAGGGAGGTAGGGCTGCTAGCTACCTACAGAAGAGATGGGTGATCGACGAGAAGATCAAGTCTGAGGTTCCCTGCCTCAGACCCCCTACTATATATACTAATACAACGGTGCACAGACCAGGTACCTATTGACCATCGTTTGGTCAAAGTTCTCTGCCTCATGTCCTACCCTCTGACCTGCCTCATGGTGGCCTTACGACTAATATCTGAGTCGTGCCGAGTCCGGACCCCTTCCAATGAGTAAGTCACATCAGTCACCTGCCAGCGAGTGAGGATGGGTGCTCCTGGCCGTCACGAGGTCTGGGGTTCGGTCCTGGCCCCTCCACTTTCCGATACGAGTTGTCCGTGGTCAAGGTGAGTGTCTGTCCCAGTACACATGACCCCCAGGTCACGTGGCATGAGAAAACTGTGACACTGTGCCCTTGCCGACAATACGTCAGATTGACTTTGTCATCGCCGTCAGTATCAGCATAGCCCAATTGTCCCTCGTCGCAAGGCACTCCCACCTTCTGTACCCTCTACTCAGCCCCTTGACAGACCACTTGCTACACGCCTCACCACACTGTCACCACCCTTTGTCTCGTCCACCCCTACAATCCCTCTTCAGTACCGCATCTCTGCACCACCTCTGCCCTCTTTTGCATGTCGTGATCCCATCGACCTCCTCGCTATCGTTGGTTCCAAGGTCAGCGCTGTCATCAAAAGACTGCAGGCCATCTTCGATCGCAAGGATCAATTGCTCAACGTCCCCCACGATCATCAGCTCGCCCTTCAACGCATCGGTGACAAGCTTGAGTGGATCCTCGACAACATCGAAAACAGCTCTTCGTGAACACACAGTCAGCAGCAAAACATCGACTGGTTTTGCAAGGAGTTTGGAAAAGTCAAGTTCAGTAGACTTGGACAGAACTTTGAGCGCGTTGTCAAGGCTTTAGTGGAGTTTGAACATTTCAGGTACTCAGATTGGATCGTCGTTTAGTTTTGTACATCAGATATCACCGCAATGACTTCAGGCTCGTGTTACGCCCCTCTGGCAGAGGAAAACTTTGAGTCGGAAGACCCAGGTCCACTGTCACAGTTTTCTCATGCCACGTGACCTAGGGGTAATGTGAACCAGAACAGACACTCATCTTGACCGCGGACAACTTGTATCGGAAAGTGGAGGGGCCAGGATCGAACCCCAGACCTCATGACGGCCGCGAGCGCCCATCTTCACTCACTGACAGGTGACTGATGTGATAGCAGAAGCACTTACTCATTGGAAGGGGTCCGGACTCGGCACGACTCAGGTATTAGTTGTAAGGTCACCATGAGGCAGGTCAGAGGGTAGGACATGAGGCAGAGAGCTCTGACCAAACGATGGTCAATAGGTACCTGGTCTGTGCACCGTTGTATTAGTATAAATAGTAGAGGGTCTGAGGCAGAGAACCTCAGACTTGATCTTCTTGTCGATCCCCCATCTCCTCTGTAGGTAGCTAGCAGCCCTACCTCTCACTGCCCCTTCTAGTCTAGGGAATCTACTTCTTTGCATCATCTCTTGCTGTGTCACCTGGAGTTGCTTCGCCCCTCAGCACCAACCCCATCACCAGTAAGCTTGTCCTTATTTGTTCGGCGGCACAGTTTATTGGCTGTGACAAACCCTCAGTTGGTTGTGAACGCAGCCTTCCGCTTGTCGCCCGTCTTAATCTAGATGTTGTTGTAGCCCCAGCGGATGTCGAGCGCAGTGTAGATCTTGACGTTTTTGAGTCGGTCCATGAGTTCTGCAATGAGTGGGAGCGGGTACCAATTCTTCACCATAATGGTGTTCAGTCGTCGGTAGTCTTGGACCGGTCGCAGACTGCCATCCTTCTTTTTGACGAAGAAGAAGGGTGAGGACATCGGGGACTTTGACTCACAAATGTAATCTTTAGCCAGATTCTCCTGAAGGAACTTTCCCAAAAATGTTCACATTCTGTATAGACTGCAAATCAGATGGCTAGCATACTATTATATGCACAGCTATAATTGCTCCAGATAAAGCCTTTGAAATTGAGCTTATCTTGCACCTCTTAGATAGATATGACTTTCTTAGTCTTCCCTATATCTGTCTTGACAGTCTCAGTCTCATCATCATTATGAGCATGTTTGCCTTTGATCAATCCAGTATGTGCCCTTGTTGCTTTTAAGCTCTGAGAGTGTTTGGCTGACACATAATAGTGAGCTGGATACACATCTGTTAAAGCCTTTTAAATAGGCTTAATTTCTGTCTTTTCGTATAGAATAATCTTCCAGGGAAGAGTCTCTTCTATTTCTTCAATGTGAAAGAGATCACACATGGACCACTCTAGATTTTATGCATAGTTTTTGTCACATAGTTTTCATCTTTCCATATTCTAAAGGAGTGGATAAGCTCACTTCTAGTGATACCAGTAGAGCATTTCCCTTCATATCTCAGACAGGTGATCTCATCCAACAATTTAAGTTCTCTGAATTCTTGCCTAAGGTCACCAGTGATTTCTCCAGTCAAATGCTTGTCATCAAAGCCTTGTAGTATAATAGCGCCTTGCAAGCTAACTCCTCTAGAAAAAGCAGTATATACAGACTGGTGATTTTTGGCCCCATGCAAGTTGACCATATTGTTGATATGAATCCTGCCCTGAGATGCAAAGTCTGTCATGGCAAAGTTGGGTACAATGCAAACCTGTGTTCCAGTCACAGAAAGTATACTATCATTGGGCATCTTACACTTGGTCTGTTTGGTAGTAGGAGTGATTGAGACCACATTTTCTGGCAGCCTATCTAACTTAATATTGTTATGACTGACTGTCGAGCGAGTAAGTGGAGACGAGCGAGGCAGGCAGGAGTGCCGATGAGCTCTGATCGCAGTGAGACTGGAGCGGAGCTCAACAGGCAGGACTGGAGACAAGTTGTGTATTGAGTGAAGTATCTACAGAGCGAAATACACGATGGCTTACCTGGAGACAAGAGGTCGAAACTAGATTCTCCAGGTAGCAAGGGATCCAGCTATATATAGGGAACAAACAATGGGCGCTAGAGAACAATAGCGTCACCATGGGTACGGAGTACAAGGGGTGTAGGACAATAGCGGACGTGGGGACAAAGGGAGCTATTGTCCGTGTGCGGACAAAGGGAAACCATAGTGAGTAGTGAACAATAAGGAAACGTACGAGGCAATGGTCCGAATCGAAAAGGAAATGTAGCGCCGTGAGGGCGGTTCGTGACAGTACCCCCCTCCAAAGGATCGTGTCCTCACGATCGAGGCTTTGAAGGAAACTTGGCGTAGAATTTCTTGACCAGCTGAGGGGCGTGCATCAGGTTTTCCGCTGGTTCCCAGCTATTGTGCTCGTTACCCCAGCCTTTCCAGTAAACGAGGTACTGGAGTTTCTTCCATCGGCCGAAACGTCTCGAGTCGATGACTTCGTCAATCTCGTATTCTTCCTCCCCCTCCACTTCGAGAGGGGCTGGCCTGGGTGGATGACGGCCTGGGAGATCACTGTGCCGGTGGGGTGTGAGGAGTGAGACATGGAAGACGGGGTGGATTTGCATGTCCTTGGGGAGCACCAGCTCGTAGGCCAGTGGTACGACCTGTTTTCTTGACCACATACAGTCCAGCCAGCCGATCTACGAGTTTTCGCGGCATCCCCGTGATGCGCAGATTGTGGGTGTCGAGCCAGACCTTCTGTCCAGCTACGATGGTCGGTAGCTCTCGAACGTGTTTGTCAAAGTGCTCCTTCATCCGTTCGGCCGCCAGACCCAGTGCCGCAGTTGCGTCCTCCCGTGCCTTTCGTAGTTCCTCTCGCCGTTCGTCCGCTGCTGGTACTTCCGTGTCGAGAACTGGAATGTGAAACTCCGGATCGTATCCGTACATCAGGAAGAAGGGCGAGTACCCAGTGGCCGAGTGAACCCGTGAGTCAAAGGCAAACTCCGCAATTGGTAGCCAGTGGACCCAATTGTCTCGTTGCAGAGAACAGAACATGTGGAGGTAGGCTTCCAGCTCCTGGTTCCAGCATTCGGACTGACCGTCGGTCTGAGGGTGGTATGCTGTCGATAATGCGCTCTCGATGCCGAGACCCTTAAGAACCGCGCGGAACAACTTGCTTGAGAACTACGGTCCTCGGTCTGAGATGATTTTTCGTCGAACACCATGCAGTCGTACGTGATCGCGGATGAGGTTCCAAGCAGCTCCTTCAGCGTCGACCTCCTCGTCTGTTGCAGTGAAGTGTACCACCTTGCTGTGCCGGTCGTACTCGACTCCGGCTACCGTGACCTTGGGAAGTCCAACGATGAAGTCTGTCGTCATGATGCGCATCGGTCCCTCTGGAATTTCGTTCGGCTGCAGCGGTCCATAGGGTTTCGTGCGTGATGTCTTTCCTCGATGGCAAGTGTCGCAAGTCCGTACGTAGTCCTTCACGAATTGAGCCATGCCGTACCAGTGATAGTTGCGCGACAGCAGCTCGACCGTCTTCCAAACTCCAGGGTGTCCTGCCAGAGGAGAGTTGTGGTGAAGCCGTACCAGCTCGGTCCGTAGCTCCTGATCATTCGGAATGTAGATCTTGCCTCAATACTGGAGGAGATCCTGTTCGATGTTCCAATTGACCAGGTCGTTTCGCAGTGCTGCAGGGCCGAGCTTCTTCACGTGCTTCAGGGCTTCCACGACCGCAGGTTCGAAGTCCTGACACTCCCTGATGCGCTTCAGGAGAGCCTTGTCCGGTACGACCGCAAGGTGTCCCCGTCGACTCGCCAGGATACGGAACTGTTCGGGATGGAGCACCATTCGGGCCAGGTTGTCTTCACCATCACCGTGCTGATAGTCCGGTCGTCTTGATAGCGCGTCCGTTAGAGACACCAGGCTTGTGGGTGATGATGAAGTCAAACCGCGATAGATACAGGGCCCATCGCGCCTGTCTGCGAGTGAGGTTCTGCGCCGTCCTCCAGTACTCGAGGTTCTTGTGGTCCGACTCAATCTCAAACTGGGAGGGAAGACCTTCAAGATAGTGACACTACGCCTGCAGGGCACAAATGATCGCGAGCATCTCTTTGTCATAGATCTCGTAGTTCCATTCGGCGTCATTCATGGATTCGGAGTGGTACGCAATCGGGTGGAACTTTCCATTGTCGCTCTCTTGGTGTTAGCTGCAGTGGGCCTCAGAGGGGTCACAATGGCCTAAGTCGAGCTCTGTAAGTCTTTTCATTGCAAGGAAACTGTGCTACACACCTAAGTCGAGCTCTGTAAGTCTTAAGGACTGCAGAGTCGACTCAGGCGCAGATGACGGCGCACAGAGCGCGTGGGAACTAGCTAACACGACCACACACTAAGTGGCGCTGGAATGGCGCCAAACGGACCAGAAGTGGGTAAGGTAGACACTACTCTAGAGTGCAGTCAGATCTACAGAAATGGAGACTACTAGTGAAAGAAATGTAGTATCTGTATGGAAACGAGAGTTGTGACTATACGAAAATTACCGTAGATAGCGGACAGCGCGAACTATGTATGGCGCGATGCGGGACTTGGTGCGATTAAAATCGACGCCGCTACAGCACCGACTCCAACAGCCCACTTGGGGGTAGGGGCGAAGGTCTCGTT